CTGAGCCCTGATGTGAGCCTGAATGTTCTTGGTTCCAAATCTCTGCCTTTTTCACTTCTGCAGAAGATAAAATATAGGGATATACCTAGCACAGGGCCTGGCACACAATAGCTGAAGGTCTTTTCCGTGCCAAGGATGCTGATGCCATCAAGGAATGTACTTTTTGCCTCCATTTTTCTTTCCCCTTCCCCCCAGCCTCAGACTAATCTGCATTCCTGTAAAATCAAGTCAATCAGCAGGAGGGCCTGTGACGTAGAAGGGTGAGGCTGGGCAGTTTCCCCAGGTGAGGGAGGTGCAGCTAGATAATCCCTGAAGGAAGCTGTGGGCAGCCTGGCCTGGGACTGAATGTTCAGTAGCCAGCTAGGTCTCCAGGCTAAAACCGGCTGTCCGCCTAAGTGTCCTCTGTGTGCCCCAGATGGTGTCTAGGAGCCTGCCCAGGTCTGTGCCCCCACCCGGCTCCTGTCCTCATTGCTGTTGACTGTTCTTTGAGCTCAGAGCAAACAGCCCAGCCCCTCCTAAAGACAGCATATTTCCAGTCCTGGGGCTGGGCACAGGAAGGTGGGAGGGGCATTCTCAGTTTCTTCATTCTTTCACTAGCTTTCGTCTGTGGAGGCAGAGGCTGGACAGACTCACATCACTGAGCCCTACTTCCCTCTGGCCATCCCAATGATGACTGCTCCCAACTCCTCCAGCTGCAAAGACCTCTTGAGGGGCACAGAACCTCAGATTGCTGGTATAGGAAGCACTCTTGAAGGCATGTCTTGTCTGACTCCCAGAGTAGCCCTATGTTGGCATTTACCACCTTGAATTCTAAAGCTTGGTACATATTCATCAGTCTCCTTAGTAGTGGTAGACACCATTCTCGGATGGTTTAGACTCATCAGTTTCCTTAGTAAAGGTGGTATATACTCAACAAGGAGCCCTGGTGGCACACATTACTTTAGAAGATTGGCAGGTGGAAACCACCCAATGGCTCCTTGAGATAAAGACCTGTCTATCTGCTCCCTACGTTGATCAGTGAAGAAGCAGCCTTCAATGATAATGGCAGGAATGTTGCATTCATGTTCTCATTGAGTTCTTTTATCATCATCCTTATTATAGATGGCAAACTAGCAGATCAGAACAGGGAAGTCAAAACCAGAGCCCTCCCCTGCAGGCCCATGCAGGAGGGCTCACATATATATGTATTTTTAAATTCATTTCTTTATACCAAGTGTCTGTCTTGCCCTATACTGTCACACAGTAATCACCCAGCAAATGTTTGTTGTGATGGAAAGAGTAAGGACATGGAGGAAAGAACACCTGGGTTCAAAGTCCTGTCCCTACAGTTTTGCCTGGGACCTCGGGGAGGGGTCTAAACTTTTCTGTGCATCCTGTTATCTGTCCTACACAGCTGATGGTAATAATTCTCCCTTCATAGGTTTATGGGAAGATTCCATATGACAATGAGCATGCCATCAGCCATGAGAGATGGTTGGTCTGGAAAAGAGGAGAGAGAAACACACCCACAGTGACTCTGGACTGTTAATAGTTGTTTCATGTCCATGGGCCTTGGTTTCTTCTGTCAAACATTTTTAAACGTTGAAGTTGTTATAGTTAGCTGCTATGGCATTAGTCCTGACTCACAGTGACCCTGTGTACAACAGAATGAAACACCACCCAGTCCTGTATCATCCTCACAATCCTTGCTAAGTATGAGCTCATGGTTGAGCCAGCTTGTCAATCTGTCTCATTGAGGGTTGTCTTGGTTCTTAGTGCTGTGATAACAGAAATACCTCAAGTGGATAGCTTAACAAACAGGAATTTATTCTCTTAATGTTCAGGAGGCTAGAAGTCTGAATTCAGAGTGCCAGCTCTAGCTGGGTGAAGGCTCTTTGCCGCTGGGCTCCAGCTCTGCCTCTTGTTCACTGGAGCTGGAGGCGTCTCCTGACTCAGGCAGCTGCTGCCTGCTGAGGCCAATGAACCCAGCGTCAGCAGGTGAAGCGGCACAATCCCAAGACCAGCAGGCAACACAGTAGGCCACTGGTTCAAGACCAGGAAGTGGAGATGAAGACCTGGCCAAGTATAGGATCCTAATGGGCTAAAAAATAACAAGCTTCTCCTTAGGTACCAGAAGCAGGCCACACCCTGAAGGCAACTCCTTGGCAGATTCCTCCATGGAGGTGATTATAATCGCATGGGGAATAACTATATCTAGCTGCCCAGCCACTGAAAACCATGGCTCAGCCATGCTGACACACAACTTTAACAGCACAAGGGTCTTCCTCTTTCCCCAACCCTCTGCTTTATTAGGGAGCTCTGGTAGCATAGTGGCTAAGGCACTTGACTGCTAACCAGAAGGCTGGTGGTTCAAATCCATCAGCCATTCCTGGGAAGGAAGATGGGGCAATCTACTTCCATAGTGATAATGCCTCGAAAATCCAAGGAGGGGTCGCTATGAGTCTCAACAGCACATAACAACAACTGCTTTACTGAACATGATGTTTTTCTCCACGGACTGGTCCTTCTTGATAACATGTCCAAAGTACGTAAGATGAAGTTTTTCCACTCTCACTTTTAAGGAGCATTCTGGCTATACTTCTTCCAAGACAGATTTGTTTGTTCTGGCAGTCCATGGTGCATTCAACATTCTTCTCCAACACCATAATTCTTTAGTCTTCCTTATCCATTGTCCAGCTTTTGCTTGTATTTGAAGTGATTGAAAATACCGTGACTTGGGTCAGGTGCACCTTAGTCCTTAAGGTGACACCTTTTTTTTTTTTTTAAACACTTTAACAAGGTTTTTTTTTCCAGCGTATTTGCCCAATGCAATACATTGTTTGATTTCTTGACTGCTGCTTCTTGGTTGTGGATCTAAGTAAAATGAAATCCTTGACAACTTCAATCTTTTCTCCATTTATCATGATGTTGCTTATTGGTCCAGTTGTGAGGAGTTTTGTTTTCTTTATGTTGAGATGTAATCTATACTGAAGACTGTGGCCTTTGATCTTCCTCACTAAGTACTTCAAGTCCTCTTTGCTCTCAGCAAGCAAGGTTGTGGCACCTGCATATCACAGGTTGTTAATGAGTCTTCCTCCAATCCTGATGCTGTGTACTTCTTCACGTAGTCCAGATTCTCAGATTTTTTGCCCAGCATACAGATTGAATAAGTCTGAAAGGATAGGACCCTGATGCACACCCACCTTGATTTTAAACCGTGCAGTATCCCCTTGTTCTGATCAAACGAGGGCCTCTTGGTCTATGCATGGGTTCCACATGAGCACAATTAAGGATTCTGGAATCCCCATTCTTCCATAATTTGTTGAGATCCACATAATCGAATGCCTTTGCATAGGCAATAAATTACAGGTAAACATCTTTTTAGTATTCTCTAGTTTCAGCCAAGATCCATCTGACATTGGCAATGATATCCCTCATTCCTCATTCTCTTCTGAATCAGGCTTGACTTTCCGGCAGTTCCTGGTCAATGTACTGCTGTAACCATTTTTTATCATCTTCAGCAACATTTTCCTTGCGCGTGATAGTAATGATAATGTTTGATAATTTCCACTTGTCCTTGGATCCCCTTTCTTTGGAATGCGTACAAATATACATCTCTTCCAGTTTTCTGTCCAGGTAGCTGTCTTCCATTTTAAAATACCAGCTATTTCTTTAGCCCCTAGTGTGTGCTCCGCAGGAGGCAGCCATCATTAACCCCTAAACGGGCATTTGCACTCTGATCTGGCTGAGCGCAAAGCCAACCTCTTAATTCCCAGGCTCTGTTGGCTACCTGGGGGTCCTGCCTTTTCTCCTCTCTCCCCGCCCCCCACCCTGAAGCATTATCAGGGGAGCGCAGCGTCCTGGAACTGGAACCCGCTGCCCCGCCCTCAGGCCCCAGAAAGGAGAAAGGCAGGGAGGGGTGAACAAGTGTCCGGCTATAGCTGGCCGAGTTGGGCCCGGCCTGGAAGCTGCTTAGGTTCCTGGTTCCCACAGGGGCCAAGAGTGACACCTGATCCCGGGGAATTGTGAAATGTCGTGAGGTGGCAGCCGGCCCGCCGGCTCAGTGAACCCTCTACCCGGCCGCCTCGGCCCCGCCCCACTCCCCCCGGGCCGGGCGGTTAAATCCCCCGGCGCAGGGCAGCTGGCACCTGCATCGCGCTCTGCGAGCACCATGCCCACCCGCTGCCTAGGCCCTCTCGCCGCCGCCCTCCTGCTGGGCCTGCTGCTGCCCCGCCTGCCCCTGGGCCACGGCGACACAGGTGAGCCGGGCGGTGGCGGCCGGTGCCTACAGGGCCCAGCCCGCAGCGCAGGACCGAGCTGGCCGCGGCGCAGCCTCTCCGGGCTTGGAGAAGTGGGGGTTCCGGGGGTGGAAGTAGGGAGACTCATGAAGGCTGAAATGTGAGGGTTCCTGGGGCCTGAAAGTGTGGTTCTTGCAGCTTGGGGTGTGGAAGCCACCGTGCAGGAGGTGGGGAGACCACTGTAGGCCGAAATGTGGGGCGGGCCTCGGAGCTGAAGGGGAGACTCTGGAAGGAAGAGGGGGGCCCTCTATCTAGACTTCCGACGTTCCTAGATTATTAGCTCTGCGGGATCCCCAAGGGTGGAGATTTGGGGGCTCTTAGGGAGCTCTGGTAGCATAGTGGCTAAGGCACTTGACTGCTAACCAGAAAGCTGGCGGTTCAAACCCACCAGCCACTCCCCGGAAGGAAGATGGGGCAATCTACTTCCGTAGTGATACTGCCTCAGAAACCCAAGAAGGGATGGCTATGAGTCGGGTCTGATTCGACGGCACATAACAACAACAACAACAACAGTCCAGGGCTTAGAGAACTCCTGTACTCCGGTATTCCTAGGGTTCTGAGGAACCCCTGGCCAGGAGGGGAGCCTTGAGGGCCAGAGATGGTGGACTCCTTGCAGCTTGACATTTGGGGCCCGCAGGGCAGGCGGGCATCTTCGGGGCCTCTGGCCTCACCGCTGACCGTCCCCTTGCGCTCTTACCCTCTTCCGCCTGCACAGAAGCACAGAAACCGGGCGTGTGCCCCCAGCTCCAGGGCGACCAGAACTGCACGGAGGAGTGCGTCTCGGATGGAGACTGCGCGGACAACCTCAAGTGCTGCCCGGCGGGCTGCGCCTCCCTCTGCGCTCTTCCCGATGGTAACCTTGCGGCGGCGGCGCGGCGAGGCCCGGGGGCTGGGCGGGGGCGGGACGCTGGCGTTCCGGCCTAGGGACCCCTGAGAGAGTCCCAGGCCGTGGAACCAGACTCTTTGTGCCCTCCCTGGTCTGGCCGGGTAGGGGTGTGGGGGAGACAAAGGCGTCGCTGAGGCGCAGTCGAGGGGGAGGGAGCCCCCATCCCTGCTGGATTCAAGTCCCTGGTGTATGACCGGTTCCGGGCGCGCACAGCGGGATATTGTTCCGGGCGCCCGGGACCGGCGAGGACCTGCAGGGAAGCTGGGCGGGGTCAGAGCTGGCCCCTAGGCCTGGGGCGCTCATCTCTCGGGGAATTCCAGGGATCCACTTTCTAAGGGCAGGCCTTGGAGCACCTGGACTGGCAGAACTTCCCAGATCCCCCTGTCCAGGGAGAGAGATTTTAGGGTTAGGAGAGCGACCAAAAAACCCCAAACTCGTTGCAGTCAAGGGAATACGACTCACAGCAACCCCCACTGGGTTTCCAAAGCTGTAGTTCTTTGAAGAAGTAGATCGCCCCATCTTCCTTCCGCTAGTGGGCTTGAACCGCTGACCTTCTAAGGTAGCAGGCAAATGCCTTAGACACTACACCAGGGATCCTTAGGAGAGTGATCAGCTTACCTCAAAGACGTGGACGCGGCGTTGGAGAGGTGAAGTGTCTCGCCCAAGGTTATCCCGCCGTCCCTTGGCCCGGCCTGAGTCCTGGTGATGTGGCCTAGCTCCTGCCTCTTCCTCTGACTGTGTGGTGGAAAGACGGTCAAATCTCCCCTCTGAGTGCTCCGGTCCCCCTTCCTCGTCTTTAAAACCATACCTCCCATGCCAAGGATTGAGCGAAGTAGGTGACTGGATGAAAGCTTGGCTGCTCTGTGAAATGTACATCGGAGTGCAAAGCCCCACCACAACCTGGGGACTCCCATCACAGCACCAAGTGGCTGTAGGCAGCAGGAATTCCAGCTTCTCCTTTTACAGAGGGAAAAACCAAGGGTTGGAGTCAGGGTTGTGGCCTGGGGGTACAGAGGCACTGTAACTACTGGGCTTTACCCAACATGTACCCCTGTGGGTTTTCTGTTAGTGCCTCGAAGATGTCAGCAGGGCTGGGAAGCTTTGTAATGGAGGAGCCCTGCCAAGCGTGATGAGGTAGGCCATGGCGGTTCAGGGTGGTTCCCTCACCCTCCGTGCGGGATACCCAGGGTTGGTTTCCAGCCAGAGCACCTGTGTGCAGCCACCTCTAGTCTGGTGGTGGAGTTGTGTGTCCCTGTGACGCTGAACAGGTTTCAGTGGCGCTTCCAGAGTAAGAGACTAGGACAAAAGCCCTGGTGGTCTACTTGAAGATCAGCCAATGAGCCTCAATAGACCTTGGCACGTTGTGAGCATTTCCTTCCTTCGTGTGTGGGCCGGACTCCGCAACAGCTAACAGCAGCAGCCCCTATGCAGAGGAAGGACGGAAGGAACAGCCCATCAAACTTTTGCAGGTGGGCAGATGAAGAGTTTGTTCCCTTGTCTCAGATGGACAGACTGAGGCAAGAAGGACAGGGCAAGATGGCCTCCTGAGCCGGGGAGGAAGGCTGGAGGTTTGTTTCCTAACTGTGTTATCCTGCGTGAGTCATTTTACCTCTCTGGCTTTCGTCTTTCTCATCTGCAGCATGGGAGTGATAATTCCAAACTTTATACAACTGGCATGAGGGCTAAATGAAAGTACAAATGAAGTGTGTTACTAAAGACTAGATAGCCGATCCTCAGGGGCTTGTGTTGTTGGTAACCAGCTCCCCATTCCCATTTGTCCCCAGGCAGCCTGGAGCTGGGGGCACCTGCTCTTTCCAAGAGAATGGATTTCTTTGTGCAGGGAAGTCAGCCTCTTGTCCCCTGGAGCTAATCACCTAGACTAGTGCCTGTGTTTTATGTTTAGCTGGAGCTGCCGCTAGGGCTTCTGGGAGGAGGGCCTGATGCCCCCTCCCTGCCCTAGGAAGTGGAGTGTGCATGCATGCATGCATATGTGTGTGTGTGCGTGTGTGTACGTGCGTGTGTACATGTGATGAATGCAGGTGGAACAGGATCAGCTATGATTTTTATCAGCATGTTGGAATGGATGTTAGAAGGCTGGGGCTCAGGTCTTGAAGATCAACCAATGAGCCTTAATAGACCCTGAAACACTGAGCATTTCCTTCCATTGTGTGTGGGGCTGACTTCGGAGCACCAGTGTGGTGTTGGGTGGTCTCTTCACCGGTCTGTGCCTCAGTTTCCTCATCTGTGGCATGACTGGGGTTAGAAATCTTCCCTACAGATAGTTGAAGTGAGCATGAAAGGAGAGACTGGGTTTACAAAAAGGGCTTTGTCAAATGCACATCACTGCAGTGTTTGCAGTCTGTGTGTGTGTCTATTAGTGAAGAAAGGTGTGACTGTGTCTGCACGGATGAGCATGTGTGTATGGGGGCCGTGGTGCTGCGTGATTGTAACTGTGGGTGAGTGATGGGGAGTGAGAAAACTCACACGTACACTGCACTCTGTAGTTTATGAAGCCTCATGGGGCTTAGTGGTGAGGCCAGAGTCTGGAGCCAAATTTCCTTAGGCAAATTATATTCAGCCTCTCTGCACCTCAGCTTCCTCATCTGTAACAAGTGGGAAAATGAACAGCACCCTTCCCCTTCCTGTTAGAATTATTAGGAGGATTAGTTAATCATGGTGACTTATGTACAACAGAACAAGGTGTTGCCTGGTCCTGAGTCATCCTCACAATCATGAGCATGTGTGAGAGTCTGTCGTTGTGGTTCTTGGGCTGATCCATCTCACCATGTCCTCATTGACTCTCTACTTGACCAAACATGGTACCCACATGGCATCTACTGGAAACTGATCCTCCTGATGAAGTGTCCAAAGTGATCAAGTTGGACAATGTTCTGTTGTGACCCATGGCTTTCCATTGGCTAATTTGTAGCAGTAGGTTGCCAGGCCTTCTTAGTCTAGCTTGTTCTGGAATCTCTGCTGAAACCTGTCCACCACGGGTGCCCCTGATGGTATTTGAAATACTGGTGGCTTTCACTACAGTATCATAGCAACATACAAGCTACCTCCCACCACAGTACAGCAAACTGACAGATAGATGACAGGCCGGGCACATGGCAGGGGCTAATCAAGTGTCTGGTAGCATAGTGGCTAAGACACTTGCCTGCTAACCAGATGGCTGGTGGTTCAAACCCACCAGCCACTCCTTGGAAGGAAGGTTGGGCAATCCTACTTCCTTAGTGATACTGCCTCGGAAACCCAAGGAGGGGTCGCTATGAGTCGGGTTTGACTTGACGGCACATAACAACAACAACAACAACAATCAAGTGTTAGCTGTTGTAATGACTCATCATTATTATTACAAAGTGGTTTGGTCTGGTCTAGTCTTTCAGGGAGAAATGGATCTACCTCCATCGCTTTTACAGCAACCCTATGATGTGGGTGGCACTGATCCCCTACACCCTAAAGACACTGAGGCTCTGCTCTAGGTCATGAAGTTAGGAACCAGCAGAGCGAGGACTCAAACTGAGATCCTAGGATTCCAAAACTTTCTGGGAGCAGGAGGAGGAGGGGTTTCAGGTGGTCTCCGTAGGCCCCCTGAGACCATTTCAGGCAGGTAATTCTACTGTTTGTGAAACCAGGCTGAGGGACTGAGGGCGGGGGCATGTCTCTTTGCATCCCTTTCGCCCACCTACTTTTACTCTCTTTTTCTATCAGAAAAGCCAGGATCCTGCCCCCGGCTAGACATGAGTATCCTCCCGCTGGGTATCTGCAAAGACCTGTGCCAGGTGGATAGCCAGTGTCCGGACAAGATGAAATGTTGCCGCAACGGCTGTGGGAACGTGTCCTGTGTCACTCCTAACTTCTGAGGTAGGAGGGTGAGGAAGGAGGCCCATCACTGCCCAGGTGGGACTGGAGGATGAGAAGCAACACTTGAGGAACCATATTGTTGCTCTCGTATTTGTCAATTTGTTTACTTTCGTTCAGTCCACAAACATTTGCAATCTACTTCCGTAGAGATACCGCCTCGGAAACCCAAGGAGGGGTTGCTATGAGTCGGAACCGACTCCATGGCAATGAGTGTTTTGATCTGTTAGGTAGAGGGTCATTTGCCAAGCACTGCACTAGGTGGTAGGGGTGCACTATGGGTGAGTAAATAGAATGACATTTCTGTGGGGTGGGGTGTGCATTCTAGTGTTGGGGGGAAGACAGACAATAAACAAAATAAATACTTGAGTAAGTTCTGTTAGTGGGAGATACGTGCCATGTAGAGAACTAAAGCAGAAAAGTGTGAGATGACCGTGGTAATGGTAAGAGTGCCCAGAGTAGCGCCAGACCCAGTCTGACTTCAGGAGAGGGAAGGATGACAATTATTGTCAGCACAAAGCTAATGCCTATGAGGTGGAGGTAATATACTCCACCCTCCTCTCTCTCTTTTTTTTTCTTTTTAACCAATTCTGACACTAGCCATCCCTCCCACGGCACTCTCTAGTTCTCTTCTGGGTTTGATAATCCATTGCAATGGCCGCACAGAACTCACAGACTATACTTAAGGTTAAGTGGTTTATTAAGGAACCAGGTACAACTTGGGATCGGGATCAGGAAGCGTGTAGGCAAAGTCTCCCTTCTTTAGTGCAGGATAACTTTCTCGTCAACTCTCTGTCCCCTGAGGACAGGCTCCGCTTGGCCTTGCTGTCCGTTGCTGCTGGCTCAGCCACTGGGCCCCTTCTGGGCCTCTTGCTGTCTTCAGTGTTACAGCCCTTGACAGATGTTACAGCTCTTTTAGGAAGTCCCTTGCCTCCTACTTCTCTGTATCCTTTTTTTCCTGCTTCCTTCTGTCTGCCTCCAAAACCTCTGTGGGGTTGGCTGCTTATAGAAACAACATCTTATAAATTTTAAGACCCCCCCACTGGGAGGGGCTACAAATGGACCAATCCCATAGCTGCTTCATTTGCATAATAGGCTACCACTCACTTCATTTGCATAGTCTATGACCAGTCCCTGCAAGATGCATAACAATCACAGAGCAGGCTACAGACCAGGACCAGATAAAAAGTATCGAACCAAGTAGTTTGCAGTTGATCCAGAAAATGTCAATCAATCTGGATAAAAGTAACAAACCCTCTGGGGTAGGAAACTAGGGCAGAGGTAACTCTCTTGGGGTTTAAGGGAAAAATCTCTCAAGCTGTTTTTCCAAAGAACCAAGGCAAAAGGAACTCATGTCTCCGCTGAAGGGGATAAGGAGTGCTGTGGGCAGGGGCAGGGGGTGAAGAGCCAGTTCCCAGGATGGCTGGAGCCAGTGAGGAGGGGGAGGGCAATAAAAGGAGAGGATTAGAGAGGTAAGGGGGTGGGCAGAACTTGTGGGCTCTTTAGTCCATTGTATGGGCTTTGGCATTGGCCCCAAGACATTGAGCCGTCAAAGAAAGACATGATCCTACTGTATTTTCAAAGGGCTGCTCTGGCTGACAGACTGTAGAGGGGCAGGGGCAAAAGCAGGGAGCCTCGTAAGGAGGCTTCTGCAAGAGGCCAGGTGAGAAATAAAGGGCCAGGATGGACTGGAAGGAGAGCGGTGGTTGGAACATATGGGATGGTGGAAAAAACCAACCCCCTTGCTCTCTAGTGGATTCTGCCTCACAGCAGCCCTATGTGAAGGTGGATGGGGTGGTACTAGCTGGGGAGGTTGGCTGTGAGGGAAGGCTGCGCTCCGGTGTTCACCCAACATTTCAATATACCAGGAGCCGGAGCAGAGCAGCTGGGCCCTAGGAGGCGGGACAGTGGCTGCAGGGGTCCGGAAGGGAGGGAGCTCGCTGGCCAATGAGAAGCAGACAGAGCCTTTACCTTCACCAGTCAGCTTGGGTTTTTATGAAAGACAGGGTAGAGACCAGTTCACATCACTAAACATCTATCTTTTTGGGGAAAAGAAAATATGTATGTAAACACATATATGTTGTTGTTATTATGTGCCGTTGAGTCAGACCCGACTCATAGCGACCCCTCCTTGGGTTTTTGAGGCAGTATCACTACGGAAGTAGATTGCCCCATCTTCCTTCCGAGGAGCTGCTGGTGGGTTTGAACCGCCAGCCCACTGGTTAGCAGTCCAGTGCCTTAGCCACTATGCTACCAGCGCTCCCAAACATATATATACATGACCAAAAACAAAACAAAAAAACAGCTCACTGCCACTGGGTCCATTCTGACCTCTATTGCATTTCTAAGGCTATAAATCTTTATGGAGGCAGAGTGCCTCATCTTCCATGGAGTGGCTGGTGGGTTCAAAGCACCAGTCTTTTGGTTAGCAGACAAATGCCTTAACTACTACACCACCAGAGCTCCACATGGATACCAGAGCTCTGGTGTCGGGGAATGGCTGGTGGATTTGAACCGCCAGCCTTCTTGTTAGCAGTCAAATGCCTTAGGCACTACGCTACTAGAGCTACCTCTTATTATATATGCATACATATATAAATATAAATACATATTTATAAAACACACATTTTCCAATTCAGTGGTTTTCAAGTGTATACTTGAGTGATGTCAATCACCAATAATCATTGCTCAGTTTCCCATCATGGTGAACAGGAGCTCACTGCTTCCTAAACAATGGCTCCCCGTTTCCCCTCCCTCCCACCCCTGGTCCGAAATAAACGCTGGTCTCTCTCCATTTGAGGAGGGGATATTTCTTATAAGTGAGACCACACAATGTCCTTTCACCAAACGTGTCTTTGAAGTGTGTTGAGCACTTATTCTGTGGCAAGCAAGGGCAAAATTCAGGACTTAGTGGCTCTGGACACTGGAAAGATAAGACTTTGAAGCCCCCTTTCCCATATGTTGTTGTTGTTGTTATTTACCATCGAGTCAGAGTTTGAACCGCCAGCCTTCTGGTTAGCGGTCAAGTGCTTTAGCCACTATGCTACCAGAGCTCCCTTTCCCTTATATGCATCATTAAAAAGAAAATAACCTGAAATCATAAAGTGCAGAGTCCTGGGTCTTGCAAAGGGTTAAGCCCTCCACTGGTGGCTGAAGGGTTGGCAGTTCAAATCCTCCCCCAGGCAGTTTGGGAGACAGGCCTGAAAAGTCACAGCCTTGAAAACGCTAGGAGTAGTTATACTCTATGCACAGGAGTTGCCATGAGTCTGATGGCAACTCACAACAACAACAACAACAAATTGTGAAGGAAGTCTAGTGAAGTAGAGAAAACCCACACTCCTGCTGAGTAACCACAGTGTGGCGCGGAGTGGGACTGTAGTCCTGTGTTGGGCGCTGGGATGGAAAATGGTTGAGGCTCTGCCTCACAGAGCTTGCAGCCTGGTGGCTGAGAAACAGACAGACTTGTGAACAGACACGCAGCAGCTGCAGTCAGTGCTGTGATGGAGGGAAGTGCAGGATGTTGTGGGAACTTGAGGAAGAACAGTTCTGCCAGGCAGGAGTGAGGCAGGGAAGGAAGGGGTGGAGAGGGGTTGGGGAGTGGTGGAGAGGGGTGAGGAGGGGTAGGGGGGGGGGGGAGGGGCAGGGAAGGATGGCCTCCCAGAGGCTTGACTTGAGCCAGTCCTTAAGAATGAGTGAAGGAGAAATGGTCTGGTGAAGTACCCTGGGGAGGCTGTTTCAGGCTGTCAGAAAAAAGGAAATTTTTTTTTTTGGGGATTTGGGTGAAGATTTACAGAGCAAATTCACTTTCCATACAGCAGTTCACATACACTTTGTCTCATGTCATTGACCACAGTTTACCACAATGCAACAGCTCCCCTCCCACTTCCTCCCCATAGTTACCTCTTCCCTGTGTCCATCCCTCCCCGCACTCCTGCCCCCTGAGCTGTCTCCCTGTGCATAAACAGCCCTTCTTTCTCCCATGATTGACCTCTCCAAGGAGTGTATCTACTTGAGGTAAATGTTCAGCTCATATGCCTGTCTTTTGTTTGGCTGGAAACCACAGGTGTGGGTTCAATTCCAGACCTGAAGTGCAGCTAGGGGCCATAGTCTCAGCGGTTCCACCAGGCTCTATCAGACCAGCAAACCTGGTCCCCCACCTAAAAAAAAGAAATATTAGCAGTGTTATAATTTGAACTTTCATTTGGTTTACCCATCCATAGAAAGGTCGCACCTTCCCTGTAACTAGGAAATGTGCTCTTTTTTTTTTTTTTTTTTCAAGTTTAGATTCTGGGGTAAGTATGCTAAAAATTTTTAATTGAACTATAAAAATGTGCAAATTTACTATTCTGTGTTTTCATCACATAAGTTCATTAATTATTCTTTTTTTTAAATTTTTTTATTGTGATTTGGGTGAAAGTTTACAGAGCAAATTCATTTTCCATATAGGAGCTCTGGTAGCATAGTGCCTAAGGCACTTGACTGCTCACTAGAAGGCTGGTGGTTCAAACCCACCAGCCACTCCTCGGAAGGAAGGTTGGGCAATCCTACTTCCGTAGCGATACTGCCTTGGAAACCCAAAGAGGGGTCGCTATGAGTCCGGCCGACTCGACAGCAAACAACAACAACAACAATAACATTTCATGTACATTTTGTCTCATGACATTGACTGCAATCCCCACAATGTAACAGCTCCCTTCCCACTTCCTCCTTGTAGTTAGCTCTTCCCAGTGTCCTTCCCTCCCAGGCACTCCTGCCCCCTGTGCTGTCTCCCTGTGAAAACACTGCCCTTCTGTTCTCTGAAGGTTGATTGCTTCAAGGAGTATATCTTGCCTGATGTAAATGTTTACCCCATATGCCTGTCTGTTGTTTGGCTGGAAGCCACAGTAGTAGGTTCAATTCCAGACCAGGAGGACAGCTAGAGGCCACAGTCTCAAGGGTCTCACCAGGCTCTATCAGACCAGCAGCCCTGGTCTTTTTTCTTTAAGATTTTGAGTTTTGTTCC